AAATCTAACCAACAGACTCACATGGCCAAAAGGTGTCTATGCAAAAGGTGAAGTGCACGAAGCTTCTGTGGGTTTGAAGAAAAAGTGAGACATTCTACATATTACATATTATAATGAAACGATTCATATCTCTCCTGAACCTCTCACAATAGAAGGCATGGTGTAATCCGTCCTGTTTGCCCCTAACTTTTCCCCGTTTCTCCCCACTTCTTCTACCCTGTCCATCTCAGAAATTCTCTCAGCTGTAAATGGTTGGAAACTAGTAATATCACATAAGTTTGCCCTGTTCTTACAGTCTTCCTTTCATATCTGCAGTTGGCCACCATCAGAGCCACGATCCTGAGCTGGAAAAAATGTTTTGTCTGACCTGGTAGTCAGTGTTATGATCTAGAGGCAACTGTTTAGAAAAAAAAGTGATGTTGTGGAATCAGGAATGCTTTAAGTAAAAGCATCTTACAGGCACAACTTCTTACACCTGCTGCATACTATAAACTCTGAGTGTACACCAATATCAAACACTGCTCAGTGTTTCAAACTAGATAATGAGACATGCACAAGTACTGCATCACCCAGATCTGAAGTGGGAAACTCCGTTTATCTGTGTTTACCTCCGAATGCTTCACTTGCTGAAATTACGGTCTGTGGGAAAGCTGGCTTCACGCCAGCCTTCGACTTCCCTTATCATCGACTTCTCAGGATCTGTCCAGCCTTCTCCTTTCTCTGCAGGACACTGCAGCAACAGAATTGTTGGGATCAGAGAATACCTTGTTCTCATCAGGAATAGCTAGCGCTTCCTTGTGGAGGAGGTTCTTGCAGAGGTAGCAGAGTGACGCTACCTTGCTCTGCCAAGAATGTCCGCTCTTCGGCTGGGAGAATTATCTGCGAGGTTGTGCATATTAAGTCGTAATAGACAGATTATCTTCTGGACATCTTCCTCCTACCTTCAGTCCTGAAACTCACCTTTCTCTCTGCCTATCCCTTGCATGTGTCTGTGTAGCAGCTACAATTGCTACATAGATAGAAAGGTGGAACTGGTATAGCAGTTACTTCTACAGAAAAGTAATATTAGGAATGTATTTTTCATAGTCTTCTTGCGAAATTCTGCTGTTGGAAAAAAGAAAGGGAAGTCCTATGTAGCCACAAGCCACTAAAAGTTATTAGCCATAAAAAATAAGGTGGAATTGGAAATGACAAGCCAGTTAATTTCAAGAACATTGCTTGTGTTTTTTATTTGGCTTTAGGCAATCACTTAATCTTTCTTTTTCAGCTACCTTATCTGGAAAACGTGGTAATACTTTACTCAGAAGGGGGCTTGGATAGTAAATTAGGCTGTTTGTTTACTGCATGGAGTGCCACAGCATGCTGTAGAAATATTAGGAATGGTTATTACGTGAGAGAGAGGACTACTTAGAAAATGGTTTGTTTACTGTGAATAATCTCGTAACTCCAAAGAGTCAGGACAACCTAGGGCCCAAATTTACAAAGCGCTGTGGCAGTTCCCAAAGGAATCAAGTGCGACACAAAATTCTTCAAAGGGTTAACAAGACATCTTTCTTCTACAAGGATTCCTGAGAGCTCAATGAGAAGCGTTGGAAGATTTCTGTATGAAGGTAAGGTGATGTATCTAAAGGAGGTTAGCTAAAAGAGCAACCAAAAAAAAAAGAAACAAAAAAAAAACAGCTCTACATCCCTGCCAGAGAAATCTACAATGTAAGTACCTGCTTTATAGCTAATCAATTCACTGTAGGTAAAACTACCTACAGTGGAAGTGATTTGACTTATCTAGCTGCCTTTGCATTGAAGTTGATGACAAGCATTCCAAGTCCCTGCTCTGCCAGTTCAGGCATAAGACCAGAAACCCTCAGCAGAAGGCATCAGTAGGTAGCCAGAGATCAAGCAGCACCTCAACTCAGGACAGCCATTTCTGCAGTGACTGTCTGGCAATACACTGCATCACCAACTTGCTACATTTTGTGAGGTATCCACTTAGAAGGAAGGGGAACCTGAGATAGCTCAACAGATCAGGGGATAATAATCCTTAGGAAACACTTTGTGACGGAACAAATGTTAGCTCACATTAGCTAATATTATATTAAACACAGCACAGCAATGAGGACTATTTCAAAGGGTGTACACTGAGGTCAATCTCAAGCCTTGCATCAAAGTTCCCGTCATCTGACCAAAGCGAGAGTTGACCAATAGCACGTTTTCAAATGTATCACTGTTACCCCACTACTAAGCTGTGTTCAACGTCACAGGAGGTAAGCTATGTTCTAACCTATTCTAACATTGAGTAACTTCATTCATTTAACCAATCCTGCTTTGCTCAGTGTGACATCTCCGAGCTGGAAAGGTTCCCCAGAAGTGTTTGAAGAATCAAAGTCTAATACTGTTTTTCTGAAGCATGCTCTAGCAAATAGACTTTCTCCAAATCTTTTTTCTTACCCAGGTTCATGAAGCTAATTACTTTTCTGTTCCTCCTCCTTTATTGGAAGTGAGCAAGCTGGGATAGAAAGATGCCCTGTCCTAACTGTTCTACTTGGTGGGTAAAGCACACTCTAACGTTCTTCCTTAGTTTGCTGATAAAAGGTCAGTTCCTCAGAACAAATTGCACCTTCTGGGGCTCTGTGCAATCACAGGCTCAGCTGTTAGCTCACCAGTAACAGAGAGTCTTTCTGGCGTGGATTCTGCAGGCTTCATGGTTTTTTTAAAGAGCAACCTTCATGACTTTTGACATGTTAGGTAAGAGGGGGGTGGATGTAAAGGTAAACAGTCATACTGTGGGAGCTGCAAACCCAAGGATGCCTGGGAGGTGAGGGAAGTAGAACAACTGTCCTGGGGCAGCGCTCAGAGCAGAGACATCTCAGAAATCCTGCAGCTTCAGGTTCCCCTGAAGCGGCTGCTTTTATCCTTCTTCATCCTAACAAACAGCCTTTAGAGGATAAGTCTGCTTTGGTACAACACAGACCACTCAGAGCTCTCCGTTCTTATCATGGCATTAGGTTTTTGGTTTTTTCCTCACCCTTTTGTGTTAACATGGTCAAAAGAAGTGTATTCAAAGCATAAAACAGTGATCATTGCTCTCGACTTTTTACATATTTTCACAACATTTGTCTCCTTTGCCACTGTGCTTCCTTGCGATTTCCTTTACATGATAGTAGCCCCAAATTTTCTGCTGCCATTTATGAGCTGGATACAGCTTTGACATGAATTGAGCAGAGGGGTCTGTTCAGCCATTTCTCATCACCCAATCCCTCTTCCATGGGGAGGGTCCCATCCCATTCCTAGTATTTTGACCTCAGGATGACAATCAAGATTAAACATTAAAGAAGGTGTTCTTACATAAAGGCATGACACCCACAACTTCTGAGTAGCAATCTGAGCTTTCGTGCCTGACTAATGAGAAAATTTAGGAATACAAAAGATATTTCTCCTATGATAAAAAGCAGTTTAGTAAGTCTGATTTTCTGGCATAAGCATTTAAAATTCATTCCCAAAAATGAGTCTGGCTTAAAAATCATGAAATAAGAAAAAGAAGTTGTTTAGGGTTATTTTTACTTCCCTTCTCATTTTTTAGACAATACATTCAGGTCATTTTCAAAATTTTATCTGCCACCGTGAGAGCTAAAAAATTACCTTTTTATCTAAAATTTCTCCTGAACACATTTTTTCAAGAGCTGGAACACTGAGAAAACTAGCATATGATATAAGACTCACAAACACACGCACACACAAATCATGCAAGCTAGCCACTCTGGGTAGGAAACCAGAGCTCCTGATGGCACCAGCTTCTGCTCACTGTGCAAATCAGGTCATCCGAACGAGATGGATTTCTTCTTTTTCTTCTCCTGCCTGATATTTTTGCACTGTAAGTGTCAAATCTTGGTTGGCAAAGCTTGTTTTTGTAAGCTGTTGCTGTCCTGAACCAAAGGAGTGTGTCTTCTGAATTCTTCTAAAAACATAGGTTCTTTTCCCCCGAAAGTTCATTCAGGGCTCAGATAAAGGCAACAGCAAAAACAAACGAGGCACAGAATTTTAAGCAGCCTAGGAAAAAAATCCCTTCTCTCAGTTAACTGTCTAATCTCAGTTTTAAGTGTATAATTTTACAACTGTTGGAATGCTCCGGGAAATAAAGGGAATATATAATGAAAGAAGTTCTTTCTAGCTTTTTCTATTTAGCATATAAAAGCTCCAAAATGCAAAATTTTACCTCTTTTCCATGTCACTTTTAAAGAGAAATTTCTAACCTCTGGTCTTATAATTGCAACATATTGTTAACTTAAGATGCTTTGACTGCTCAACAGACAGCGAGTTCTCTCCTCGCTAAAATGAAAGCTGGGGGGGGGGGGGGAGGAAGGGAGAAGAGCCATAGCTATGGAAGGACGGAAATCAAAGGAGAAAAGCCTTACCCTCAGACAAGTTTTGAACTATGTATGGATTTTATTCCCCTCCTAGAATCCCAGACAAGCAATCCTAAAGCTTCTGTGGCTGAAGGACCCATACGTGTATCTCAGAGCTTTGTGTCCCAGAGGGAGCCTGAGAGGCTTGTACTTCTCCCTTCTCAAAACCTGACAGTTCCCAAACCCACTTGTGAAATGATTACCTTGCAGCAGGACTGAATGAACTTCCTTTTTCCAAGCCCTATATGAAGCAAAAATCTAAGTTACGGGGGGGCACTTTGCGAGTTCCCTATCCCTGACCTTGTTAGCCGGGGTTTCTTGCATACTGGCCCCTTCTCTGACTGTGTGCTAGATCTTAGTGGTAAAAACTGATGGGCTCCTCAACTTCTCTGGGTCCTGACTTCACTTTGCCTGGGCAAGCCTGCCTCACCTGTGACATGTGACTGCTTTTCGCGTCTCCAGCTCTGGCTTGACCATCACCACATGTTTGCTGTGTGCTTGAGAAAACCACTGAAAGTTCATTCTCTCAGCAAGGTCCTAAAATGTCTGTACTAATCTGCAGAATAAGGAAAAGCACTGGTTATAGAAGTAACAGCAGGCATGGAGAAGCACACACATCTGAGCAGCCAGCTGGATGGGTAACTACATGTTCCTCGGTCCCAAGGGGATAACTTACTGCAGGCACGTCCCTCGGAAGAGGCCACTGGGAGCTCATTTCTACCACCCGCAAAGACCTCACTGAACCTTAGGGCCAAAACCCCTCTCTCCGCTACCCTCTTTCTGTGCCGATTAGACGAGCTGGGTGACCTTCTGCCGGACAAACGCGTTGAAACGCCCGAGCGGAGGCAGAGGCTGCTTTTCCACCCTCCCCGCTCCTCTCACAGCGCCTGCGGCCCCCACGTCCCGCCCAGGCCCCTTCTCCTCACAGCA